CCCCTGGCAACCACTATGCTACTTTTTAATTTTATGAGTTTGACAGCTTTAGATACACACCTCATATAAGTGTAATCATGTAGTCTCTGTCCTTCTGTGACTGGTTTACTTCACTTGGCATAATGTCCTCAAGGTTCTTCTATGTTATCCCATACAGCAGGATTTCCTTTTAAACAAACAAACAAAAAAAAAGATGAGTAATTTTCATCAAAGGAAATCCTATTTTCTTATTTCCTTTCTAAAGTGTGGCTCCCGGAACTTTTCGCCAGCTCTGGATTTCTCTAACCTGTGGACAGGAGGGAGATTGTCCTCCTCTTTATTTTGCTGGTTGTAATTTTCGCCTGGTTTCATTGCCCTGCTGCACTGAGAGCAATCTAAACCTCTGAGCCCTTCTCTCTTGTTCCCCTCTGAGCTGTGGTCGTCTCCCTTGCTTGTGCACTTGGTGCTTTGCCTCCAGTGCAGGATGTCACAGCTTTCCCAACTGAGTGCCATTTTGCTATGGTTGTTCTATGCATCCATCGAGCCATTTGAGGGATTTTGGGATCCTGATTCTTTACCTGAATTATCCTTGGCTTTTCCTATTTCTTATTCTGGGTAGATATGATGATCCTGACTGCTAAGTCCCTGTCCAAGGCATTAAGAAAGGCACTGACAGAGACAGAGTAGACACCAGCATCCCGTGGTAAGCCACCGGAGGTTTTCTGTAGGACCATGGTACTCTACATCTGGCCTCAGATCCACTGCTTGGGAATCATCTGGGATATTTGTTTAAAATACAGATTTCTGACTTCTTAGAAATACAGAATCAGAATTGATGGAGGTGTGGGCCAGGAACCTGTATTTTTAATAAGCATTTCAGATGGTCTCATGTGTAACCAGGGTTGGGAATAATCAACTCCAGCTTTTTTTCAGTTCAAAAGCCCCAAATAAACTTCAGTTTGATCTGGTCCGAAGTTAACACCTAAGGAGTCCAGCCTGATGAAATGGGGTGGAGCAATGGCAGAGTATTGCCTAGTTCCATAAATATAGTCAGTCTAGCCATGCCTTACACCTACCAGGGTAGGTTCTACAAGACGGTTTCAGACCTCTCTCTGCTCCTTCTACCCACCCCCTTTGGTTGCATCAGTCTGGTTCTGTGTCCTGGCTTCCAATATCAGTTTCAGCTCCTGGATTTTGGTACCAGGCTTGACTTCCTCTGCCCCACTCCCTCACCCCCCAAACCCGGCCAGCTTCTTGGTCTTGGTTTCCCACATGCTCTCTGTAGATGGGTCTGATTTGGGCATTTCCCATAGCTTCTGATGAGAGACTCCTCTTCCAGCCCTGGTATATTGAAACAAGCAACTTTCAGGATA